CCAACAGGGATCTGTGTGGTGTTATGCAAACCAGCATAACCTGATTCATTTGACAATGGGATAATTTTTTGTATAACATCTGTTAACATGCCACAGAGTTCTTTAAATATATTTAGGAAACTGGGCCCGGAGGAAGGACAGGCCTAAGTGTTTATTGCACATCTATAACTGGCTCTGTGTCAGGTACATGGCATGCATTTTATCAGGTAGTCCTCGGAATAGCCTCTGAAAGAGGTAGAATTGTCCCTCTATTCATACTCCAGAAATGAGAACTGGCTCTGACAAGCGAGGCAGTCTTCCCAAGAGCGCGAGCTAGAGTCTCTTGTTGTCCCTCCACAGCAAACTCGCATTTGAATTTTCCTCTGCTGTGGCTCCTTCTAGTTCCTGTTTATCACAGAGTTGATGATTCTGGGAGGGAAAATGGGAAAAAAGATCAGCCTTCCACTCTGTGACATCATTGACAGTTTGCATTTGCAAAGCAGGCAATGTAAACGGCTCACTTGCAATTTAAACATCAATGTGTTCAATTCGGCTTCAGTTTCCTCATCCATAAAATGGAACTGGAGTGGGAGTAGGAAAGCAGGGTTAGAAAGATGTCACTAAATGGTCTCTCCGTCCCTCCTCAGCATGTACATTGTGGGCTTGTGACTCCGAAGCTCTGGGCCTGCAATTTGGACACACTGCCACCAGGGAGCAAGCTGGACTTTGATTATAGCCATGGCAGGCTCATCTACTGTATCCCTAGGTTAAAGCATCCTAAATTGATTTTATTGGTGCTCCCTTGAGTGGTACATGGATATTATAGAAGTTATAAAGACACTTTTGAGTCACAATATGCAAATGAGGCCCTGCCTGAATTAAAGGGTGACCAATTTTTTTCTTTATGTGACTTCATGCTTTCTTACTACCTGGTCCCTGTACCTCCTTGAAATTTAAGAATCATTGTGAATTCCACTATCTAGGACCTCAGGAACATGAAGAACAAGGGATGCTATTGGGAACCATGCCAGTGAAATAAAAGACCTTCTTTAAGTTAAAAAAAATCTAGGCATATTTTATGTGCTTTGCCAAGATTACAGCTTTTATCTCTCCCGAATATTCAATGTTTAATTAAAAAGGGTTCCTCTTTCTGAGGATGAATCTTTAACTGAGACAAAGTCATAAAACATGAGACATTTGTTCTCATATGTCAAAATTGAAATTGCTCACTTAACTTTAGATCAGTTCACCAACACTGTGTTTCTCAGACACTCTTGCTAGTATCTTAGTTGCATCATCAGAAAGCATTTTGGCAGCTCTCTCTCGTAAAGCTGCCTCTGAAAAGTACTAAATTAAATGTAATGTGAAGCTGGGTTTCTGTGGCATCCTTCCCATCCATCTTCCATACCCAAACCCATGAGCAATAGAGAGGCTTTGTGGGTGCCTTTTGAAGGCTACATCGACAGTACATTTCCTGCTGTGGGGGCTCGTTCTGGAGATTATCATTCTCACCCGCCATGATGTATTGTGAGATCTTTCCATGATGACAAATGCAGATGTGGTTCATTTGTTTCCGCTGCCATAAATCATCCCATTTGTCCACTGTCCAGCTGAAAGGCATGTAGGTTGTTTTACTGTTTTAAACTACACGGCAATGGAGATCTTTGCCTGGGCTCCCTGTGTGCATGTTCAATGGTTTCTCTAGGCTATGTAGAAATGGAAATCGCAGGTTGTAGGATACAATTTAAATTTTGCTAAATACTCACTCACCATTCTTGGCTCATAATTGATCAAGCATACGAAAATTTCCTTTCCCTCATTCTCACCTACACTTGCGTTTTGATTTTTGCCAACCTGATGGATCGTTTTCATTTGCATCTCTGATTATTGGGGATAATGAGCATCTTTTCAACTCTCTGTGTGGCTTCTTTAGTCATTAACTCTTTGTGTTCCAGACAGACCGTAAAGTCCTAGAAGGAAGGTCTGGGTCTCAAATTTAAGGCCCCCACAGAAGACAGCCCCATCCAGGCATAGACTCCATCTGCATTTCTTACTTCCTAAGCTTGGAGCCCTACCTGCAGCTTGCCAAATACATCATGCTCCAGCTTCATGCATACCATGTCTTCTGTCTGGAATGCTGTGCCTCTTCCAGACCACCTGAATATCCTTACTAATGGTCCATGATTCATCTTTATAACCACCTCCTCTAGGAAGCCTACCATGTGACCAGCACCCCATCCCATCCCAGGCAGAACTAACCACGTTCTCCTTTGTGCTTTTGCTGGCCCCACATGAACATCTCACTGCCTGTGTATGACTTCTGATCATCTATTTACTGATACATCTGTCTCCCCACCAGACTCTGAACTCCTTGAGGACAGGCACCATGTCTTATTCATTTTTGCATGCACAGCTCGTTGATCAGGTCTGGGCAGGGGCATATGATGGGGAGATAAGTCTCTAAGCCAGCTTCTTCCACAGCACTCTCCTGCAGACTGTAAAGCTCTGAGGACTGGACTGTATTGCATTCACATTGCTGCTCCCTCTGTGCCTAACAGGGCTGAGTGTGGTGCTTAGTCAACAAGTACCACAAACACTCAGCCCTGTTAGGCACAGCACCATTGTACTACATACGCTGCAGGATGATTGCCTGATAGAGCAGAAGTGGCTTTGGTTAGAAACTCCTGGGTTTGCATCCCTGCTTCCTGTGCATATCATACTGTATCATTTCCTTGGCCTCTCCAAGCCTCAGTTTCCTCACCTTCATAAAGAAGATGAAGACAGCTTTGAGGACTGGCGTAAGGATGAAATACAGTTGCACATAGAAACCATGTGGTACATAACCATATGCGTTTGCCGCATTTTCATTTCTATGTCAGAACAGCACAGAGTCTGCTTTAGTCACAAGACTTTGGGTGACTTATTTTCAGGTGCCACGTGTGATGGGCACATAGCAGTTAATGAAGACAAAGTCTAGTGTTTCCAGTGCCAGAAACAGTGTCTTGCAGAAATTAGGTACCCAATAAAGAAGTTGAACTCAACTCTGCACTTTGCACACAATTAGTTGCTTGATAAATGTTAAGTCAGTTTCACTTCCCCGTATTGCATTCTGATCCAATCCTATCTTTAAAAATGTCATTCCTGGCCAGCCATAGTGGCTCACGCCTGTAATCCCAGCACTTTCGGAGGCCGAGGTGGGTGGATCACTTGAGGTCAGGAGCTTGAGACCAGCCTGGCCAACATGGTGAAACCTCGTTTCTACTAAAAATACAAAAATTAGCTGGGCATGGTAGTGCACGCCTGTAATCCCAGCTACTTGGGAGGCTGAGGCAAAAGAATAGTTTGAACCCAGGAGGCAGAGGTTACAGTGAGCCAAGATTGCACCATTGCACTCCAGCCTGGGCAACAGAGCCAGACTCTGTCTCAAAAACAAAGAAAAAGAAAAAAAAAGTAAAAAGTCATTCCCTTTTGTGGGAGGCGGGGCAGTTGGGGGAGAGGTTGGAACATGTCTGCTTTTCTTCCTGGTGGTGATTTTGATTCTTCCTTTCACTTTTGATCTTTCAAAAGCAAGATAACCACCGGGAAAAACTATTATTTTGAGTTATCCAATGAATCATTCCTGCATATAGTAATACTGTTACGTAGTCCCCTCTCACAAAGTCTGGGCTTGGCCATATGTCCCTTTGGCCACAGAGACATTGACAAGCCAGTGCAAGGCTTGATAAACCATTGCACACTTAATCTTGTCCCCTCAGAAGTCTCCTTCTTGTAACCCAGTCCCCATTCCAGAAGACGCTCAAGTGAGCCACAAAGAAAGGTCCCACAAGAAATACTGATGATCAGCCAGCTCTTCACTGTGGTGCTCATCCCAGCTGAGGCACTAGGCATGGGAGAGGAGCAGGTGTCTTCACAGCAGGTGCTATACAGAACGGAAATGAACCGTACCTGCTGAGCCCTACCTAAATTGCTCAATCATGAGCATATTATGGATCATGTCGTTTTAAGCCCACAAGTCTTGGTACTGTGGTTTGGAACACAGCAAATAACAACCCATAGGTAGAGCACATTCTGAGGGGGCAAGTCAGTGATATTGGGATGGAGGGTGCTGCGGGCTTACAGGCTCACCAGGTGAAAAGCTTCAGATCAGCTGGAAAACAGAACTGTCTGGCTTAGAACCCATTATCTTGGGACTCTTCCCTGGGGCTCCAATTCCCAGGGTTCTTATGGGCTGAGGATGCTTTTGGCTGCTTAAACAATGAGGAGATACTCAGGATCACATTACAGGAAGTCCAGAGACCAGCGGCTTCTAGCCAAGTTTATGGAGCAGCTCAGCGAAGCCATGGAGGATCTAGGATGTGCTGCACAGTCTGCAGTTCCTCTGGTCTTAGATGTCTGCCAGGAGCAGTCTGGGCTGCATGGTTCCTCATTCATTACGTCAGGAGAGATGGATGCTCTCCCTGCATTCCCAGCAGAGAAAAGAATTTCCCAGAAGCCTGCACATGCCCACACCTTTCCTTACATCTTATTGGCCCAGATTGAATCCCATGCCCATGACAGAACCAATCACGTGTGAGAGGTGGGGTTGGGGTGGGGGCTAAGTATTACCATGAGAGCAATCAGACCCACCACTAGATTGGAGGAAGTGTGTGTGGCCAATTCCTCTGAAATCTGTGTCTCATGGGGGAGGAGTGGATGTCTGGAAAGAATTGGCATCTCCTAGGGAGAGTATGCAGGGTAAGATCCAGCAGTGTCCACTAGAGGACCCCTTTCACATAGGGCATGTGGGAGGAGCCAGGCATCCTGAGCTTGAGACAGAGTCACGCTCCTGTCCTTTCCTGGGATAGTGGGTGAGGGTATGTGTGTGTGTGCGCATGTGTGCAGGAGGGAGGACTAGGGGATCGTTTGGACCCCCAAGGCTTCTATCTTCCCCTATTTGGTCCCTCCAACCCCGCAATCGGTCCCCACTCCAATGTGAAGAAAGGCAGCAAGCTCAGGAGAAGGACTTAGACTTGAGCCTTTCCTTATTGTTAACATTTTATTTGAGTAGTGGACACCTCTACCGTGTCAAATCTTTGAGCTCTTAGATTTGCTGTTTTCTCCATATTTCTCTTCCAGTGCTTTCTGCAAGTTCAGGTTCATAGCATTTTTCCGGTGCCACCGACCTACAGAGAGCAGGAAAGGAGCCAGCACAGATCAGATCATCCAGCAGTGTCTGGAGTGCCCAGGTGATGACTCATACCCCTTTCAAATCCACCCCTGGCTCTGTCTCCCACTCTGGTTTCTCTCTGAACCGTAGAGCCAACACACCCTGCCCATGGAGGACAGTTCCCGCTTCCCACCACCCGCAGCTCCCCACTTACCCAGGTCATCCGTCTTCCTGCCATGCCAGTGTTCTAAGTCCCGCACTGACTTCTCAATGACCTCTGGGGTGTAGGAAGCCTTCATGAGGCTCTTTGTCTCCTCAGGAGCCCCTGTGGAATACCATGAAGAAACCCCAAGTGCCCAAGTCAATGGCAATCAGATACTCCATGGTTTATATTGGGTGTCAGTTTCCTCTACGGATGGTAAATTGTGGAAGGGAAGGGGAGTGGGAAGGATTTTAAAGTAAAGCCAAACTCCATCATTTATGGGCAGTATGACCTCAGAGAAGTTTTTAACCTCTCTTAGCTTTGGTGTCTTCATCTATATAAAGAAATGAGATTTTCTTGCATGATTGAGAAGACAAAATTACTGGACATACATCAGGGCATCTAGCAAGTGGAAACTAATACCTGTAACTTAAGCAAACTTGTCTCTGTGTTCAAAATTCAAACACACACAAGCAAATATGTTGCAATAATCAAGGCTCAGCAGAAATGCCAGAGGTGAACTCTCCCAAATTAGCAAAGATTTGAATGATCAGATACAGAATACGAAATAAGTATATTTAATGTTTGAAGCCGTAAGAGAGAATAAAAATATAAACGAGGAATAAGAAACCATCCAGAAACAGCAGACAGATTAGTAAGAGAAGCAAACAGAATTTCAGAAATGAAACATATGATAATTGAAGAAATTAAACTCCATGGATAATAAGATGCCTGGGACTTGCTTTAAATAATCTTGGGTAGGAGTGGACGGGTGGGAGAAAAGATGAAACAAGATCGCCTGTGTATTAATCACTGTTGAGGCTGGGTGGTGGGTGCAACATCTATTTATAAACTAAGTTCTTTTCTTTTCCGTAAGTTTGAAAATTGCCATCATAATAGTTTAAAAATAAATTCAATGGACAGGTAAAACGGCAGATCGAATACAGCTGAGAGAAAATGGCAAACTGGAAGATATCCCGGAATAAATGAACGTTAGGATGCAATATAGAGAAAAGAATATGATGAAAGAGGCACTAAGATGCAGGTTAAATTAAAACGGCCAACATACATCTCACTGGTTCTAAAAGGCAACACTAGAGAAAATAGACCGAAGCAATATTTGGAAACATAATAGGTGAAATCTTTTCACACTTGAAAGATGGGAAGTCTTTGATTCAAGAATCGTAGGCTGGGTGTGGTGGCTCACGCCTATAACCCCAGCACTTTGGGAGGCTGAGGCAGGCAGATCACTTGAGGTGTGGAGTTTGAGACCAGCTTGGCCAACATGGTGAAACCCCGTCTCTACTAAAAATTTTAAAAAGCCAGGCATGGTGGTGGGCACCTGTCATCCCAGCTGCGTGGGAGGCTGAGGCAGGAGAATCACTTGAACCTGAGAGGCAGAGGTTGCAGTGAGCCGAGACTGTGCCACTGCACTCCAGCCTGGGCAACAGAGCAAGGCTCTGTCTCAAAAAAAATTTTTTTACATATTATATTTGCAGTGAACTATGACCACACCACTGCACCCCAGCCTGGGCAACAGAGTGAGAACCTGTCTAAAATAATAATAATTTTTAAATAAAAAATAACAAATACTATTGATATGGTTTGGCTGGGTCCCCACACAAATCTCACCTTAAATTATAACTCCCATACTTCCCATGTGTTGTGGGAGGGACCCAGTGGGAGATCATTGAATCACAGGGCAGTTTCCCCCACACTGTTCTCATGGTAGTGAATAAATTTCATGACATCTGATGGTTTTATAAGTGGAAACTCCTTTCACTTGGTTCTCATTCTGTCTTGTCTGCCACCATGTAAGATATGCCTTTCACCCTCCGCCATGATGTGAGTCCTCCCCAGCCACGTGGAACTGTGAATCCATTATACCTCTTTTTTCTTATAAATTACCCAATCTCGGGTATATCTTTATCAGCAGTGTGAAAACGAACTAATACAATTATATTTAAGGGTGTAATGTTAGAATCAAGAAGGAGAAAAGGAAGCCTGTTTTTCCTCCTTATATATACGCTCCTTATATATACACCTGTCCCAGTCAGGCCAGCCAGATGAGAAAAGCCTAGTGGTTAAGAATTTAAATGTCAGCTTCTGACTGGCAGGGTTTAAATCCCAACTCTAACCATTCCTACCTCCGTGGCCTTAATTGTTATTTAATTTTTCCACGTCTAGTTTTTTTTCTATCTGAAAACAAAATGGGAACTGTAGCATTTAGCACATGGGATTCATGTGGAGAATAAAATATATGTAAAGTACTTAGAGCAGTACCTGGCATGTGTTAAATGCTATGCATAAATGTAGCCACTATTACTATTCAAAAGCCGTCATAATCTATAAATAATTATTGGACTTAATTGGTAAGCTTCATTAAGTTTCTGAATATGAGATTAATATACAAAAATAAAAATTGCATCTGTGTATACAGTATCAGCAGAAAAATTAGAAAATGTAATTCTGAAAAAGATATTATTTGCAATAAGCAGCAAAAATAAAGAGATTCATATAAATAAGTCTAACAAAAAACCTGCATAATGTTTACAGAAAAAAATCACAAAATGTTATTGAGAGATATCGAAGGAAGACTTAAATTAACCCTATTCATATATTAGAAAATTCATTATAAAGCTGGCAACAGCCCTTATATTGAGCTGTAGATTCAATGTACTTCCAATCAAAATCCCATCAGGGTTTTTCATGGAAATTTCCATATATTAACAACATTTTTATGGAAGAGCAAAGGGCCTAGACACCCAAGACATTAACCGGTGATGGTGGTGGAGGGGTGGCAGTGGGAGGATTGCCTGGCAGATATCAGGCTACCTGTAATAGCTTAGTGATTAAAAGTGTAACGTTAGACCAATGGACAGAATAGAGAGCCTGGAAGCTGATCTATGCACACACAGAGACCTGATGGATAACAGGGACGCCACTGCAGGGCACTGGGAGGAAAGATGAGCCCATTCAGTAAAAGGCACTGAGGCAATCAGTAATCCACAGAAAGAATTGAAAATGAATCCCTACTTCATACTAGAAACAATAATCAGCTCCAGGTGGATTAAAGACTTAAATGTGAAAAAGCAAAACTAAATATTTTAGAAGAAGGTATACAAGATGACCTCTATGATTCAGCAGAGGATAGGATTCCCTCAGCCGCGCCCTCCCACCCCCGCCCAGTAGCCATTTCATCCTTCCAGCTGTTCAGGTCAAAAACGTTGACATCAACCTTCATTTCTGTCTCTCACCCCAAAGTCTATTTATGAGCATATTCTCTTCTCTCTGCCCCATACAAATATCCAAAATCCTACTACCTCAGACCACCTTCACCATTACCTCCCTGAGCTGCTGTATTGCACAATGGTGCCTTCCAAAATGGGGCAGTGCAGTAACCTGGCCTCCAAGCCGTTTCTGCCCCAGCTCCCTATGTCCATTCTCCCCATAGCAGCTGGAGTGAGCCTTTCACCTGAGCCAGACAGGGCCATTCTCCTGCTTAGAACCCTGGCTTGGTTTCCAGCAGGCTTCAGGACCCAGCCTATTTCCTCTGATTTCTTCCCCCTCACTCCTGTGCAGCCATGCCAGCCTCACCAACCTCAAACTGCAAATGCAAAGGCTAACCCCGGGTGGCTGAAGGCAGAGAGGGACAGATGAATGGGCACCGTGCCTCAGGGTGAAGCCCTGGTTCATAGTGTTTGCCAATTTCCAAGCGTTTTGTTTTGTTTGTTTGTTTGTTTGTTTTGGTTTTTGAGATGGAGTTTTGCTCTTGCCTCCCAGGCTGGAGTGCAGTGGCATGATTGCGGCTCACCGCAACCTCTGCCTCCTGGGTTCAAGCGATCCTCCTGCCTCAGCCTCCCGAGTAGTTAGGATTACACGCATGCGCCACCATGGCCAGCTAATTTTGTATTTTTAGTAGAGACAGGGTTTCTCCGTAGCATGGCCAATTTTAAGATAGCATTTATATGCCAGTCAGTTCAGGGAAACAATTGCCTCCTGTGAGCTGGCCCAAGCTGCTGTGTGCTCCAGCAGCTCTACTTCCCAGGCGGGGTGATGGGACACAGACATTTTTTAAAATAATATTCTTTTGCATTTATGTAGACATTATCATACACAGTTGTATGGAAGAGCTATTTGGTGATTGATAGTTGTTAAAGAGAGAAATGGAAGGCCCAGAACAGAGGAAAAGCAGAACTATATTCTCGCTTTCCACCCTCAGCACCACCCCTTCTCCAAGCTCAAAGAAACATCCAGAGAGGCTTCCACTGGGTGTCTGGTTCCTCGGGTGACAGGGATCTGAGCCAGGTGAAGGAGGTTTGTCAGGCCCTGGGAGCGCTGGGGGGGCATGGAGTGAGGAAAGAGGAAGGATCTCACCAGAAAGAGCCTCATTTCGCAATGAGGTCAAACCAGAATGTGGGAGCAGAAAGAAGCGCCTAGTGCTGGCTGTGATGGGCATCTGAGCCATCCAGAAGATGCTGGGAACAGGGTCATAGCTAGGGAGATGACTTAGTGGCCGAGGAAAGGCTGTGAGGCTTTGGAGGCAGAAAAAACACCTGGCTTTGAGTTCCAGACACAATGCCAACTAGTAAGAGGTCTACAGCAAATCAGCTGAACTTTGCCCGTGAAATGGGGCCAATAGCACTCCCTCCACCCCACCCAAACAGGACGACACTGACCCAATGGAGACCTCTGTAAATGTCAGAGCCTCCAACCCACCCTTTCGTTCTTCCCAGGGGGTGTCACCTCGCGGCTGTGGAGAAGAAAAATGATGGCCAGACAGCTACTGAATGCTCACAACTTGCCTCGGCCAAGCGCCTTTATGTGGCACTTCATAAAGTCCTGCCAATGTCCCAGCAAGGGCCACACTCTCATTATCATCCCCACGGTACCCAGAAGGCAGTGGGGGTTTGGAGAGATTGAGCATTCTGCCTAAAGTCACACCCAGCTAGTGAGTGGCTGAGCTGAGCTTTGAACCAAAGAAACTTGATATCGTCAAGTTTCTTGACCAAAGTTGCCTGGGATGGGCGGGGGGTGGGAAGCGGCAGTCCTGGCCCTTCCACTGGGTCCTGGGCCTTCTACTGGCGGATTAAGAACCAGAGGTGGTCAGGGCTCAGTAGCTCATGCCTATAATCCCAGCACTTTGGGAGGCCGAGGCGGGTGGATCACTTGAGCTCAGGAGTTTGAGACCAGCCTGGGCAACATAGTGAAACCTTGTCTCTACCAAAAATACAAAAGAAAAAAATTAGCCAGGTGTGGTGGCACATATCTGTGGTCCCAGCTACTTGTGGGGGCAGGCTAAGGTGAGAAGTTCACTTGCTTGAGCCTGTGAGGTGGAGGTTGCAGTGAGCCAAGATCGTGCCACTGCACTCCAGCCTGGGCAACAGAGTGAGACTCCACAAAAAAGAAAAAGAAAGGAAACAAAGGAAGGAAAGAAGGAAGAAGCCAGAGGTGTCTGGGGGTGTGAGGGGCTGACTGCCAACTGGGACGAATCATCCACACATCGAGGACAGACTTGCCAGGGGACTGGATGCTCCCAGCACAAGCAAGCTGACATAGAGGACGCGTGGGCATGAACTAAGTGTCTGTGGAGATGTGCCCAGGGGTCCTAGACCCTGCAAGGAGTGGATATCCCAAAGGCCTTCCCTGCCCAATGGCTGGGAGGCCGTGAGTGATCGCAGTCCCACCCTTGACCCTTGACTTGACCTTGAAACAAGTTTGACCGCATGTTGTAGCCGAGATCATAGTAGTCTGAGAAGATGGAGGAGATCTCCGCAGGACTCTGTTTCCTGCTGGGCCATGAGCTCGCCTTCTTCTGGCCCTGGAAGACTTCACTGATAGCCCTTTGAGCCTGAGCAGGGAGGCAGGGACAACAGACAGGGGACAGGAAAGCAGTGTCAAGCCCATATCTCCCTCCAGCTCCTCCTCCCCTGACGCTCCCTCCCCACCCCCATCCCACCTTTAGCCTGCAGCCCTCAACCTATTCTCAGGGCTGGGGAGCTGGAGTATTCAAAGACCGCAGCCCCAATCCCCCTCACCACCTCCACAGCGGGCAGGAGGCATCACGTTAACAGTCACAAAACTTCTTCCAAGCATGATCACCTACTATGTGCAGCATTGTGTGTCAGGGTGGGGAGGAGGGGTGTCTCTATAGGGTCCCACTATTCCCACCATTTTATAAAGGAGGAAAGTGGACCTCAGGAGATGACCTAGTTCACGTGGCTGGCAGGCCGCAGAGCCCTGGCTTGCCTCCTACAATGGAGGCATCACACAGGGAAGCTCCGGGTGGGTGCTTAGCTTTCAGTGAGGCCAATTCCCTCTTCATACTAGGAGGGAAACTGATGCCCAGGGGAAAAAAAAAAAAAAAAAAAAAAAGGAAACCAAGGAAGGAAGAAACCAGAGGTGTCTAGGGGCATGAGGGGCTGACTGCCAGCTGGGACGAATCATCCACACATCAAGGACAGACTTGGCAGGGGACTGGATGTTCCGAGCTGAGCCCAGGCCCAGGGGCAGGACACCTGCGTCCGAGATCCGGTTCTGCAATATGCTAGCTCCTGACTCTGGCAAGCCTCTTCTCCTTTCTAGGCCTCAGTTTGCCTACTTGTAAAATGTGAATGCAGGGTAAAACTGGATGGTCTTTGAAGTGGCTTCCAGCCCTGACACTCGCTGGCTCAATGACATTTGTGACATAAGTCACAGGTGGGCAGAGAAACACAGATTTCTTCATTTGAGCCTGGGACGTTGGTGGCTGAAGAAAGAAATGATATCTCCCAAGGCTGGGCAGGGCAGTGAGATGTAGTGACCACAGACTCGACGGCAAATGGGGACAACCTCCTCCAAGTGGGGCAGAGGAGTTAAGATTGTGACCTCTCAGACTTGTTGGTGGTGGGGTCACCACACTTTAAGATGACAGAGTGGAAGGGGAGCCTGGGAGAAGCCCTTTGTGACCCAAGCAAATCATAGCCCCTTCCTTGGGCCTTGGCTATACCATCTGTGGAAAAGAAGCAATAGCTCCCGCCTGGCCCTCCACACAATGCAGTTGTGATGAGGGTTGAGACGGTGGCTTTGAAAATATGTCTCAGAATGCCAGGGCAGGAAGAACACAGCATTTGACCAGAAATGGTAGATGGAGTTGATCTCGAGTTTCCGTTGATTCGTAGTGACTGCATAGAATGCTATGTTGGGTGGAAAAGAGTGCAAGCATCGACTAGCAATGTCTGCCATGAATGCAGGCTGGGAGCGTGGTGATGTGCACACCATGTATTTGTCAGCCTAATCTAGTCCTTGCTTTACAGGTGTGGAGCCTGAAGCCCAGAGAGGGTAAGTAACATATCCAAAGTCACCCAGCATTTAGGACCAGGTCCAGGATTGCAACCCAGGTCTTCTGATTCCCAATAAATGCTCTCCATCCACTAAAAGCTGTCTTTCTCGGGAGACTTGTCCAAGCGGAAAACACCCCATTCACACCAAAGGCTTTTAACTGCAAAGTCATTAAGGGTCAGAGTTTCAGAATCTGCCAACCCAGTTTGCAACCTCTTCTCACACAATTGAGTGCATTTGGTTGACTTACTTCACCCTGTAAGCCTCGGGCTCCTTATCCGTAAAATGAGGACACTAATAGTACCTTCCTCATGGGTTTTGGGGGAAATGTAACAGCTTGTTATATGTGAAGAGTTTAAACAGTGAACAGGGCCTGCATACAGCAGGTGCTCAGGAGATACTTCTGTCTAATGGTAATATCATAGGGACTCTGCACTCAAGAGCGAGTTTGTCTTGTGTCCTCATTATAAGACTCTGTATCACCCTCCTGGCCCCTGCTTTGATACCTGCTCCTCGGAGACCAGCTGGTCCACCACGTTGCTCCCAAACTTGTGGCGAATGTTGTTAGGAATTATGCTGCTTTTCTGGCTCATGGGTGTGCTCCTCTGGTCCTGGGTTCCCGAGCTGGGACCTTCATCTGTCCCCTGGCATGGCTGAGACCCCTCTCTCAAGGTGGCCCTGTTCTCTCTCGAGGAGGATCGAGAGCCCCCGTTCTTCAGGGACCTGGACTGTGGGTCCATCCCCAGAGAATACCTGCTGGCAGCAGTTGGGGGTGGAGGGGGCACCTCCTCCAAGTGGCACTGCCCTAGAGAGCTGCCTTGAGTGCTAGCTGTCCGGGGCAGGGGCTGTGGGGATGACAGACCCTGGTACTTGAAGTTGGAGGTGTCCGAGGAACTGCAGGCCGTTTTCCAGGGGTCCGTGTCCTGCTGGCCCTTCTCATCATTCAGATGGGCACTGGTTAAACCAGTTGTACCTGAACACAATAAAGAGAAACAGAGGGGAAGGGAGAGAGAAAAACAGACAAGGGCAGAAAGTGAGGGTGGGGAGAGGGGCAGAGGTGGGGTGAGGAGGGGAAGGGACAGACACAGAGCCCCAGAACTCCAGAGCCAGAAAAGAAGAGAGGGACAGAGAGAAAGCCCAGAAACCAGAAGCATGGGTGGGATATTAGGAGACACGAGGGAGAAGAGAGGTCGGCCCACCACGCCTCCCGCTGGCAGGGTTAGTCCGCATTGCCTGGGGCAACAAGGGCTGGAGCCCAGGCCCGCCTTGAGGCCGAGCTGTGTGACCGCAAGCAAGGGACTTGGCCTATCTGCGCTTTTGTGTCCCCAGCACCATTTGGAGAGTTTCCTTCCCCAGTTTTCCATCTTGAAACTTCCCCCTTCCTCCCCTTGGTGAGAATCGGGCAGCAGTGGCACTGACCGAGGTGTTCCTGGGGCCAAGCCACATGCCTGGGAAGTACTGGAGTTAGATGGAACCCCCAGACTTTGCTTCCAATGCAGGGCCGCTCCCCAATACCCACCTCCTCCCTTCTCCAGGGCTGAGAAGTGGCGCCATCCCAGCCACCTCCCAGGCTCTCTCTCACCTCCTCCGTGTCCCACATTCCTCCCCACGGCCTGCGCTCCTCTGGGTCTCTTGTTCTCAGCCTTGGTGTCTCCTCACAGCCTGGCCCCACCCTCTACCCCAGATTACAGGTGTAAATGTGTTTGGTGATCTTCCCTCCAAAACCTTCAGACAAGTCCTCCAGTCCTCTTAAAAGATACATAGCTTTGCCAGGTGCGGTGGCTCATGCCTGTAATCCCAGAACTTTGAGAGGTTGAGGTGGGCAGATCGCCTGAGGTCGAGAGTTCGAGACCAGCCTGACCAACATGGAGAAACCCTGTCTCTACTAAAAATACAAAAATTAGCCAGGCATGGTGGCGCATGCCTATAATCCCAGCTACTTGGGTGGCTGAGGCAGGAGAATTGCTTGAACCTGGGAGGCGGAGGTTGTGGGGAGCCCAGATCATGCCATTACACTGGAGCCTGGGCAACAAGAGTGAAACTTTGTCTCAAAAGAAAAGATACATAGTTTTGTTTCACTGTCGTGTATGAATGAGACCAGAGTCATGCGTTACTTTGTAACTTGCTGTTCAGTGTACCACCCTGCCTTGGGGATCTACTCAGGACAGTGGAGACAGCCCTAACTTCCCTTCCAGCACTGCAGGGCCCCACCACCACCCCACGGGGAACACACAGGTTGGTCCAGTTTAGTTTCTCAGAGAAGGTTGCCGTGAGCGTCGGGCTTCGCCAGCCACTGGGGTTTTTATTTCACTCCCAGGGGTCCCTGCTCAAGTGATGGAGCTCGGGGAGGGCCCCTCTCGCCTACTCCGCAGGGAACTGCAGACCCTTCCCCAGCGTGGCGGGAGACAGAGAGCTGAGGTTTCTCTGCTTCCTTGCCCACTTTCCCCTCGCCTTCCTTCCTCTCCATGCCTTTGTCCCATGGCTCTTTGTCAGCAACACAACCTACAGAGGGAAAACCTGTTCCCCAAGACCAGACTGCCTTCCTTCCTATGCTGCGCTCTGCCCCAACCAGCAGGCAGCCAAGCAGAGGGGCACCTCTGGGGACAGCTGGACTGTCAGGACGGGCATGGTGACCCTCCTCAAAAGAGCAGAAGCAGAGAGTGGGAAGACCACCCACCTGATCAGCCTCAGCCCCTCTCACCCTGCTCCTGGGGAGACTGAGGCTCAGTGCAGGGACAGGACCCTCCTGGATTCAGGCTCAGGACAGCCAGTGCTATGCTGTCTCCTCTATCAGCACATGCTGTAGCCATTGCCTGCTCACCCTCAGCCTGTCCTTTGGGGTTATGGGCACGTTTGTGGCCCAAATGTGTCTTGCATTCTTGGCCCAGAGAGCCAGTATATTCACCAACGCATCAACTGAGCAAGAACCGGCTGTGTGTCAGGTGCTGTGCCAGGTGACACGGACACAACAGTGAGCTGAGCAGGCCAACCCCATCCTCTCAGGGTTAAATATCAGTGAATGAATGAATGAATGCATGCAGGAATGAATGAAGACCTGCATCTGACATTTCAAGAATCTCATTGCAACTGCACCTTTCCTCTACTCCATTCATTCGGCTGTGACACAGGCAGAGTCCACCCTGCTTCATTTGCTATTATGAAGATCAAATGATCAGTCAGCAGGGTTATCTAAATGTGGCCATGTATCAGAATTCTGTTGGGCACTCGCTAAAAATACAGATTCCTGGGCCCCTTTCAGAGCTGCTGCATCAGAAAGGCCCTGAATCTGAGTGTTTAACAAGGCCCCTGGGCATTCAGGTCATTGCAGGAAACTTTCAGCAGGGGTGCTGCCCCAGCTCACTGGACGCTCTTCTCCCCATCTCACCTGCCAGCCCCAGCCACCCCTCACCCTTCACCCCTGGGGACCCTTCTCAGAGCAGGCCCGAACCCATTCACTCCTGCATTGCAATCCCTCCTCTTGTTCTCGGGGTTCCACAAAAGTGCCAGCCGTCTCTCCCTTCCAGGCCTTTGCCTGAGCGGTTACCCCTGCCGGGAGCATTCTCCTCCACTCCTGAGCTATACCACCCCTGGTCTTGGCTCACATGTGACCCCGTATGAACCTCCCTCCCACTGAGATCGGGCCCCCCTCCATGCTTCCCCACAGCCCTGTTCTTCTGGTGCACACAGGACTCAGAGCAGGAGTCACTCCCTCAGGATGGGGACCATATTGGGGTGACAATTCCTACACATGGCAGGATGGGGGGCTCAGTAATTCTGTTCCCTCCTTTTTCCTTCTGTCTTCCTACAGAATGCCCCCTAGGAAGCCAAGGCCGACAGTGGGTCTGGAAGCCAACGCAAGACTGAGGGGAGGAGGAAGGGCCTGCTCCCTGCCGCCCCAGGGAGTCCCTCCAGAAACCTGAATGTGCACGTCTCTGGCCCACCCATCCTACCTGGCCGATGGCCCAGCTCCATAGCCTCTTGCTGTGGGACAAGTGATTCCAGGGTTAGTCCTGTAAACAAAGCACCACGTTTCATCATCTCAGATGACACACAAAGTCTCTGTGAACGAGGATGAGCTGGCAGCTGAACAGGAAGGCCTGTGGCTGTCTGCCTGCCCCGACCAGAGATTCTTAGCTGCTCCTGGTGCCCTCTGGCACTGCCCAGACCCATGAAGCCTCTGCCCTAACCAGTCATCACCCTTGGCAAGGGCTGCCAAGGACCTCTGCAGGCTCTTGCCCTCTCTGAAAAGCCCTGGCCACCCACCCCCACCCCATCCCACCCGTCCTCAGGGGCCTTTCAAGCAGCCTTGGACCCTGGGCTCCTTTTACTCCTTCGTAGTCTTTTCCTTCCGTCTCCTCCTCCTCCTCTCCCCCACCGCCACCACCCTCAGAGATCCTGGCAGGCCCCTGGCTGAAGCCCATTGCACCTGCCCCCAGCCTGGCAACCATTTGTCTTCCTGCAAATAGGGTTGTATCCATTTGCTGACCAGTCATTCATAGTCAGGGAAGGGAAGCAGCTTAGCTGCCATTCAGGAAAGCCAAGAGCAGGAACCCACACTTTGCTCTGATGTAAACTCAGTCTTCTCTCTAAGGCCTTTGGGTCATATTAGAGGGGTAGCTTCATAAATCTCTCTGGCTTTCGTGTTTGTGTTCCATTTTCTCATGTGATCTTTTTCTTTTCTTTTCTTTTTGATACAGGGTCTCACTCTTGTCACCCAGGCTGTGGGTGACAGTGGAGTGCAGCGGCGTGATCTCGGCTCACTGCAAACTCCACCTCCCAAGTTCAAGTGATTCTCCCACTTCAGCCTCTCGAGTAGCTGGGATTACAAGTGTGTGCCACCATGCTCGGCTGATTTTTTTATTTTTAATAGAGACGGGGTTTCACCATATTGGCCAGGTTGATCTCTAACTCCTGGCCTCAAATGACCCACCCACCTCAGCTTCCCAAAGTGCTGGGATTACAGGTGTGAGCCACTGTACCCGGCCTCTTTTTTATAATTTATATTATCTTCCTTTATCCCTGTGGGCTCCCCTGCCAGATTTTTGTGAGTTTTGTAGTATAAATAAAATAAAATCTGGTCATACAGACACTATTACAAGGTAAGTGTCTTTGTAATAAAGGAGGGAGGGACACAGCAAGTCAGATCTGGAAGGGATCTTCAAGGACTGAGGCCCAGAGAGGGATAGTGGCTAAAGATCACCCTGTCAGTTGTTCTTCTGGTAAGCTCAAAAACAGGTGGACACCAGGTCAATTTTCTTCTCAAAAAACTGTCAAGGAAATAAAAAAAATTCGCACCAAGTTCTAGGAAAAATTAAAAAATGAAAACACTGCCAAGGAAAACACTCTGTTAATTTTGACAATTCATCGTTATTCGATAATTGTGAAACTTCTGATATGACTTCCAATAATCCTACCCTCTGATATTCACATATTGTATGATCCCATCCCCCCTTGAGCGTAGGCTGGGCCTGGTGACTTGCTTCTGATCAAAAGGACATAACAAAACTGGTGGGATGTCATTTCCAAGATCACATGTGTGACTTTGGTTTTATTTGCTCTCTTTCCCTGGCTCTCCTTGGTTTGCTCATTCTGATGACAGCAAATGCCATGTTTTCATCTGCCCTGTGGAGCAGCCCATGCGGCAGGACGCAGAAGGTGGCAAAAGCTCATAAGGAATAGAAGCCCTGAGTCCTACGGTCCTTGAGGAACTGAATGAATCCTGACACCTAAATGAGCTTGAAAGTGGATCCTTCCCCAGTTGAGCCTTGACATGAGAACACAGCCTGGATGACACTTTTGTTACAGCCTGTGGGATATCCTGGACCAGAGGACCCAGCCAAGTCGGGATCCTGACCCCTATAAACTGAGATTATACATCTGTACTGTTTTAAACACATAGTTTCAAGCTTCTGAGCTTTATGATCATTTGTTTTGCAGCGATACATAGCTAATACATATTCTGGTACCAAGAATGGGGTGTTACTGTAACAAATACTTAAACATTTGGGACTGAATTTGGAACCAAGCAGTGGGTAGAGCCTAAAAGAATTTTGAGAAGCATGATAAAAAAGCCTAAATCTCCTTCAGCACTTTGTTTGTTTGTTTGCTTTCTAACAGAAATCTGGAGTTGGAAGATGCTGCCTGTGAGGAATACATTACCAGAAATAGTGGAAGAAAGGCCCTTGCTATGTCGTGGCAGAAACGGCGACACTGTCATCTGCAATTATGTGACTAACGAACTGAGTGATTTAGCTAAAGAGTTCCAAACAAAAGATTGTAGTTGCCTCTTAGTTTCTTCTTGCTGCTTGTAGTGAAATGTGAGAGGAAGGAGCTGAATTGAAGAAGGGAGTGTTAAAGATGCCAGTACTTAATGGTTCTGAAGTCTCACCCTCTCCAGATGCCAAAAGATGCTAAAATTAAGAGATGGCTTCAGAGGACTGTCTGGAAAGCACGGCCAAGTGTGTGACTGTACGACCTGTTGTTAAAACTTCAGAAAGAGCAAAGGATCAGGGTATTACTCGGTCACACAAAGGGCACTTTAAAGAGATTAAAGACACGCCTGATATATCCTCTTCACAGAACCATAGGGCCTCTAGGAAGCTTAAGGCTCCTCAACCGGAGCCCCAGTTAAAAAGGGGTGTGGCTTTTGTTCAGTTGAGTGAACGCCTGTAAGTTTTATTGTCGAGAATACAACATCAGCAAAATGCTGGCAGCTTGGGATAAAAGGGATAGAGACAGGAAAAAATGAAAAGATATCATTGAACAAAAAAATAAAAATAAAAAAAGACAGGTCAGAGAATGGAAGCAAGAGTCCGGGGGCTGGGAGCCATGGAAAATTACTCCCAGGCCTTGAGACCCAATCAAGGAATGTCCAAGGTTTGTGTGGCTGGATTTCAAAATTGCTATGGGCCATTGACTCCATGTCTCCATTTTCCTCAAGTTTGAATAGGAATGCTACTAGCTCTTATCCTCCGCCTCGCACACCATTGTATGTTAGGTGTGTTCGGGGCACATAGCTTGGTTTCACAGATCTCTGATGGAGAAGAATTGAATCTGAGAAGCTGTACTTACGGAAAAACACGAGAGGAGCCTCAGCCACAACTGGAGCTGATTTATATGACCAGATTCTAGCTTTTAAACTGATGCTCTAATAGAATTAGTATTTTAAAGCTCTTAGGAGGGGATGAATGTATTTTGCATGTGGAAGGGATGTACATTATCGGGGGCGAGAGGGCAGAAAGTGGTGGGCATTTGACATGGTTCCTAATGATCCCTGTTTCTTGGTATAATCCCCTTTAGTGTGGACTGGACACAGTGATGAATGCAATGTGTCAAAAATGAGAGATGTCCCATCCGTGATGAACTCGTAAGAGACTATGACTTCTGTCTTGTTCACTCACTGTCGCTGGCTCACCTCATCTGCTCTGATGGAAGCCAGTTTCCCTGTTGAGAGCTGCCCTACGGAGAGGTCCACAGGGCAAGGAACTCAGAGTGGCCTCTTGCCAACAGCTCCAGAGGAACTGGATCCTGCCATGTGAGTGGGATCCTTCTCTGGTCGAGCTTTGAGATGAGACTAGAGACCCAAGCAACACCTTGATTGCAGCCTGTGAGAGACCTTGAGACGGAAAAATCACCCACACTGCACCAGGATTCCCAACTCACAGAAACAGCGTGGTAGTAAATGTTCTCTTAAGCCCGCTAAGAAGTTTGGGGGTGATTTGTGGTGCAGCAAGAGATAACTAACACAAGTCCCAGGTCAAGCGTCCTCACGTCTAGTCCAGCTTCACAAATACCCAGTAAGGTGTTCAGAGAAATTACTAACTTATCCTCTCACAGATGGAGAAAACGAGGCTCAGAAACAACACAGGACTTCACCAGGTGGGGCTAACATTAAGTTGCACATCTTCAAGCCAGGTGAAGTTCAAGTTAGCTCCTTCTATCCCCACCCCCCTCCCCAGCCACCCACCTGATGTGCCCACAGCAGCTCTGTATGTACCAGTGCAGCAGCAGTGTGGACTCACTTCCAGTTCCTGACCTGGAGAAAGAGATCCCAAGAGACTTTGGTCAAAGAGGGCAGGAAGGTAGCTCCAGTCTGGGCAGTCTTCACTCACAGGCAACTCTGAATGGGGGAAAGGAAGATGAAACCCCACATCCTGGAAAAGCCCTGGCCCTTCATAAGTCTCTGCCTCACCTCTTCAATCTCTTTCATAATGGCAGGAAGCACGTGAGCCACACTGACGTGTGCCGAAGCTCAGGGGTGCAGATCCCCGCTGCAGAACTACTGCTGAAGACCAATGGATGGTTGCTAGGAAGTGGCCCTCCCCGAGATGTTCATTGGAGTTGCCATGGTGATCACTATTCACAGGGCTCTGTTACCTCAGAGGGCTGACAGGCCCACCCCTAGGAGAAAGCCAGGACTGAGGAGGCAGGAGGGGCTCCATGGGTTGTTCACTCTCTCATCCACTCAAGAATATCGGTTGAGCACCCACTGTGTGCCAGGTGCGTGCCAGGCACAGGGGGCTCTGATGCTACCAAGTGCAAAAGATGTTCTTGGGAGTTCAGAGGACTAAGTAGAGAGAAGAACTGGCTCTGTGTAGGGAAAAGGAGGAAGGACTTACGAAAGGGTCATTTGAACTGGGTCTTGAAGGATGCCTAGGAGCTTAACAGTTTAGAAGGGATGAGAATATTAAAGGTATGGATGTGTATAAGAGAACAAACGTACATCAAGGTCAATGGGGAAGGAGAAACATGCATCTGGGGCTGTCTGGTTTGGATGCCCAGGGATCAGGGACCAGGGAGTAAAATCAAAGCAAGAGTGGACCAGTGAGAGTCCTCTCTCCTTTTCTTGAACAAAAGGGCTACAGAAGGAGATCAACAAAGTTAAGTGACTCCTTTTCTGCAGGAAGAAGGAGGCGGAAGCCATCAGTGCCAGCACTGGCCCATTCCTGTCTGGCTGGTGCTCAATATGGATGAAGGGAAGGCCTCTTGCAAGCCCAGCCCTTCGGTGTTTCCCAAGGAAACAGAGAGGACCATGGTTAAACTTTGAGTCCCCAGAATCTGGACCTGTCACTTATTCGATAAGAGACTTTGGCCAAGTTCTTTAGCTGAACTTTCCTCGTATGTTGTTAGAAACAGGTTCTCAGTGCCGCAAACAATCAACACCAAAACTATGGATCCGTCGGCAAGACGATTTCACCTTCTGCAGAAAGTGGGCCGCTCGCTAGCCATCCTGCTGCGAGAACACACCTGAACAAAGGGAACAGGAGCGTTTATAACCTGATGCGGCCACCCGACTGCTGTGTCCAGTTTCTATTGGCCAAAACAGGACCTCACGTTCTAAGCTTTACCTGATTGGCTAGCAACTTAAAACTTTCGTAAGTAGGTAAAGGCAAGAAAGAACAAAGAAGAGAGAGAAAGGCCAAAGTGCTTCTTAATAAGGCAAAGGAGGAAACCGTCACCTAATGCTCGCCTTGGTTCGTCCAGACATGGCAGGGTGAATATCTGGCCAGCCAAGGAAGCTCTGAAGAGGAACTCCTATTTCATTCTCTATATATGTGACGCAGGTAACACCCAACACTAAGGATAAGGGTGACGAACACATGAAATCTTTTTTTTTTTTTTTTTTTTTTTGCAAAATGTAGCACATTGCCTTGCACAGAGATATCACAAATAACTCTAAGCTACTTCCACAAGCAGCCCGTCAGCAAGTCCTTCAAAGTACATTAGACTTGGATGCCTTTGCCCCCTCCACAACTCCCCCCAACTCCCTGGTCCAGGCCATCCCCATCATTTGCCTGGATGTTATCTATTGCTACGTGACAATATCGCCATACATTTAGAAGCTTAACATATAATTATTATCTCACAGTTTCTTTGGGCTGGGGGTCTCCTCGTGGCTTAGCTGAGCCCTCTGCTTTGGAGTTATTGGCCAGGGCTGCAGTCTCATCTGAGGTTCCACCTGGGAGGAACATGCTTCCAAGCTCATGTGCCTGTGGAAGGACACGGCTCCTTGCTGTATCTGTTAGACTGGGGGCCTCAGCTCTCACTGGCTGTCAGCCCAACGCCATCCTCAGTTCCTTGCTATGTGGGTCCCCAACATGACCCTGACTTCATCAAAGCCAGCAAAGGGAGAGTCCCCTTGCGAGAGGGGGCATTACACTATGGTGTACCATAATTGCAAAAGAGGCATGCGTCACCGTTGCCCGATGCTATTGGTTAAAAGCAAGTCATAGGTCTCACCTGCAATGAAAGGGGGAGGGCCACACAGAGCATAAACATAGGGGGCAGATACTGTGGGGACCATCCTGGAGTCCACGATATCCTCTGCCAGTCTTTTCTCACTCAACAGCCCAGCAATCCTTTTAAGACCTATGTTAGATCATATGTCATCCCTATAATCAAACCTTCCAGTAGCTCAACCACAGTCAAAGCAGACATCCTCCTATCTACCTGCAAGGCCCTACCCAACGTGTCCCCCATTATTCTCTGACCTCAGTTCCTCCTACTTTCCCAAGTGCTCCCTTCATCCTTCAAGACTCTGCTCACCTTCTGCTTTTTTAAAAAGCATCCCAGCCCACCCACACTCCTTTCTCTTTATCAACCTTTTCTGCCGTTGCACCTCATCGCCATCTGACATACTGCGTGTACTTGCTTTGTCTTCCCACGGTAGGATGTGAACCACATGGGAGATGGGAAGAGGATTATTTTGTTAGTGGCGTGGAATTGAGAGGGATCAGCCCTCCAGACCACTCCAGTCCCTCCACTATAGATCCCACCAGCCTCAGCATTCATCCCCACCACCCAACCTACCAGCCCCAAAGCCGACCTCCTCAGCGTCTCCTGGGCACCTATCTGTTCCAACACCAAGCCAAGGACAGATTTGGTCTCCAGTCCTCCAGGATCCTGTGTTTACTGGGGAGGCTGGAGAGTAGGAAGCTGGGAGTCTCCTACAACCCCAAAGAAGGACTAAGAGAGCCTTTTTCTGGGAAACTTGAGATCCAGCCACATGGGGCTGATCTACATGGTGGTTTTCTTCTACCATGTCTTCCTGATTCACCTGCCAGAGCCTGGACCTTCACCCAGGGCTGAAGCTATTTCTCCAGCTCCTCCCTCCACTGCTCCCCAGGGAATCTTACTCTGAGCCAGGAACGGTGCCCCAGGCACAGATCACCTTCCTTTCACCTGCTCCTGGGCATGGCCTCTTCTGAGAGGCCCTGAAGCCGTGTGACACCTCTCTGGACATATTGGGAAGGCCAGCTGTCCCCCGCCCCTACCCAGGAGGCTGAGCCTGTCACAGCCTGGGTTTCAGCAATCTGCCTTCCTGACCCCCTTCTCATCTGTCTTCCAGGTAGGACCCAGCGTGCTCTGGGACAGAGTCCGCCTGACATGGGACAGCAGGAGGCTACTTCTGCCAAAACTGAGTCAAAGTGGTATGCTCAGTGTGGCTTCCCCAGCCAGAGGGAGCTATGGTGGTCTCTGTCCTTCGTGGAGTCTCCAGAGTTTGAAAGAGATGGAAGTTTGGGGGCAAGGATGGAACCCAGGGAGTGGTAGACAAGCACACTGCTCAGAAAGGCAAAGTTTATTCCAGTGTTGACAGGGAGAGTGAGGCTTGCACAGCAATTCTAAAATCATGTCAATCTCCTTTGCCTGGCTGCGAGTCACGGGGTCACTAAACTGGCCACAGTTACAGTAAGCAGGAGAGGTCGTGGCTCAGGCCTTCCCAGACTTCCCCTGGGACACACGGGTCTCTGGGGGCGCCCGGCGAAACCACTCGGACCAGGAGCCGTCGTACACGGCCACATCAGGCTTGCCGCAGAGGTAAGCAGCCAGAGCCACGTGGCAGGCGGTGACCCCCTTGCGGCATGTGGCAATGAGAGGCTGCGAGAGATCCACCTTCTTGGCCTGGAACAGAGCACGGAGCTCTTCTGGGCTCTTCTCGAAGCCATCTTCAGTCAGGAAGTCCATGAAAGGCATGTTGACTGAGCCATGAATGTGGCCCGAGTCCAGTCCTGGGGGGGGGCAGAGGACACAGGTTAGGGGAGGTATGAGGGGTGGGGACTAATGGGGCCTGGAGGATTCAGTTGGCTATAGCTGGAAGGATAGATAGCTTTGCAAATAAAAATAGCATATTTGCTCTGCTTGGAGCTCCGTTTATTCCTAGCCCTACCTACTACCAATTCTCATTACTTAAGACGACTGTGCCCCCCTGTCTTGAAGTGGGGATGCCCAGAATCACACCTGCTTGAGAGGATGGCAGCATGAGTCTCAGCTCCACTAACCGTTACCTTGGACAAATCACTTCACTTCTCTGAACCTCAGTTTTCTCATCTGTAAAATGGACTCAGTGGTACATACCTACCTCACAGCATTGTTGAGAAGAGCAAATGGGACAAATGAATGCAAATACCATGTGCTGAGAACACAGCAGTGAAAGGGAGAGACAGAGCCCGGCCCTCAGGGAGATTCCAGTCTAACAAGGTAGACAGACGCTAAACAGATAACCACGTAACTAATCAGATACGTCACCCTAGTTTACAGATGAATCCGCTGAGGCTTGGCAAAACAAAAGGGCACATCTAAGGTCACACGGAAAGATGAAATCAGAGTCGGGATCATATCAGGGCCTCTGGTTTTCTGTGAAGCACACAGTTGCGGAAAGAGCCTGTGACTTGGTGTGAGACGTAAGGTCAAATTCCACATTGAGCAAGTGATGTCAGCTCTCTGAGCCTCAGTTTCTCCATAGGAAAAAGAGAAATGAGAGTATCCGCTGGGTACTGGCTGCTGTCCAGAGTGAATGGCACAAGGAAAGCATTGGCTTTGGAGGCTGGCCCACCCACGCTGCGATGCTGCGCCCCCAGCCACTTCACCACCCATGGAGGGTGTAGGGGGAGAATAGGGCGGTGTGGGCATTTTGGTCCCCTCCAAGAATTTGGAAGGAAGCAGCATGGGGGGACTAGACTGGCTCTGGGGCCCTTTCTAGAACTGTCTCAGTACCCAGTGAGGGCCCTCGGCCAAATCTGGCTTTAGAAGAGCGGGAAAGTAGGGCAAAGGGGACCAGGCCATGGCCAGAGCTGGTGCCACCCACAGGGTGAGGCCACAGGCTAATCCCACGCATGCCCAGGCCACTCCTCTCTTCGTCAAGCCACCCACACCCTGGCAGGGGTGGGGGCTCTGTGGCTGACCCCCCTCCCAGTGCCCAACCTGCCATTTGGCCTGACACAAGTCTACCTCCATCTCTTTGAGCTCCCCTTGCTCCCCAGTCCCCACCACCCTATTCAACCTGGACTATGTGACAGGACCCGAGCAGGGTGGCAGGAGCAGGAGGCGAAGGATCTGAGTGCTGTGGCCCCAAGACACATAGTGGGAATATGTGCAGACAAGCAGACCCTGAACCTCCAAGCCTCAGTCTCCCTCCTGCAGAATGGGGAGAAAACCCCACCTACCTCCCAGGTGTGTGGAGAAGTCTAGCTACTGCAGCTAAAAGCACCCAGGGACACCGACAGGCACATGACTCAGTGCATGATTATGCCAGCGGTGGCCTGGTCCTTTCACCCCAGGGCCAAAGAGGATTCCGAAATCTATTCGCACGAGTCGAGTTGGATTGGCAGTGGTGTTTGCCACCAACTGATCACCAGGTACAGATTTCCTTGTCCCTTCTCCACTCCCACTGGCTCACTTGAATAGCCTGAAAATAAAGAACAGGAAACGCCAGGCATGCTGACTCACCCCTGTAATCCCAGCACTTTGGGAGGCCCAAGTGGAAGAACTGCTTGAGCCCAAGTTTGAGACCAGCCTAGGAGCACAGCAAGACCCCATCACTATGGAAAAAAAAAAAAAATGAGCCAGGCTTGGTGGTATGCACCTGTAGTCCCAGCTACTTGGGAGGCTGAGATAGAAGAGTCACTTGCACCTAGGAGTCTACAGTGACCTGTGATCATGCCACTGCAGCCTGGGTGATACAGCAAGACTGGCTGGGCGTGGTGGCTCATGCCTGTAATCCCAGCACTTTTGGAGGCCGAGGGGGGAGGATCATGAGGTCAGGAAATGGAGACCATCCTGGCCAACACAGTGAAATCCCATCTCTACTAAAATACAAAAAAATTAGCCAGGCGTGGTGTTATGTGCCTGTAATCACAGCTGCTCTGGAGACTGAGCCAGGGGAATCGCTTGAATCCAGGAGGTTGGAGTGAGCCGAGATCATACCACTACACTCCAGCCTGGCGACAGAGTGAGACTCCGTCTAAAATAAATAAATAAAAAGAAAGTTTGATTGAATACAATGTATAAAATTAGAGCAATTTCTTCCTGCTGCGTTTCATCTGTTTGCCTGAAAACTTGAATCTGAGACAAGATGTGCACCCACCCTACCACCGAGAAACAACTGATCAGCTGGCGTCAAGGGCATTCTTTCCCAAGCAACGCAGCTTTCAGATGTGTCCACATCCGGGTCGTGGGCTGGACCGAAGTGCATTTGAAAGCACAGGGTTGCAGCCGTTTTGTTTTGTTGCTCCCTCTCTGATGACACAGCCCCATTGTGTTCTTCTGATTACATAAAGGGCTCCTCTTCTGAGTAAAGATGAAGTCAGGGAGTTTCTGTGGAGCCAGCCTCCCACACTGGGCCAGCCTGGACAGGGTGAAGTGGGGCGAGCTCACGGCCTGTCTGGGGCATTGAAATGAGCTGTGAGAAGGGCTGAGATAAACCTGGGCCAGGGAATGTTGAAGCACAGCCAATTGCTGGAAGGGCACGTGGGGCCGGAAAGCCAGGCTCCCATGGTTCTCCTCCCAAGTCTAGCTGCAGACTTCCGGTGCCCCCATTCCCATAACCTGTGGCACCAGGCACTCGACAGGAGGTGCTCTTCAGAACTTTATCCTCCTCAGCCCTCACAGAGCAGGGAAGATTACTCTCAGCACTGCTGGAGAGGCCAGGCTCAGAGAGGTGAGGCCGCTTGCCCCAGGACACACAGCAAAGGTAAGTGAAGTCTGATTGGTCTATCCCCAACGCCTGTGTTGTTTTGACCAGCTTGAGCCTCCCTGGAAAAAAGAGACTGAGGCAGGTAATAGATGAGATGATCTCTTGTGCTTGAGTTAACTTCCCTTAGGCCACTGGTAGGTGTAGATTTTTTTTTTTTTTTTTTTGAGATGGAGTCTGGCTCTGCTGTCCAGGCTGGAATGCAGTGGCACGATCTTGGCTCACTACAACCTCTGCCTCCCAGGTTCAAGCAATTCTCTTGAACTCCTGACCTCAGGTGATCCGCGCCTGCCTTGGCCTCCAAAGTGCTTGGATTACAGGCATGAGCCACCACGCCCAGCTTTCAAGCAATTCTCTTTCCTCAGCCTCCCAAGTAGCTGGGACTACAGGCGCGTGCCACCACACCTGGCTAATTTTTATTTTTATCTTTTTGTATTTTTGGTAGAGACGGGGTTTCACCATGTTAGCCAGGATGGTCTCGATCTCCTGACCTCGTGATCCACCACCTTGGCCTCCCAAAGTGCTGAGATTATAGGCTCGAACCACCAAGCCCAGCTCTAGCTGTGGATTTTCATGGCCAGGAAAAGCTGGCCCTTTCTGCTTTCACTAACGAATCGAGAGCAGGCAGCCCTAGAAGGCAACCACCCCTTAACCCTGGCCAGGAGGCAACCCTGCACCCTCCCCCAACCCCTCATCCCTGCTCCCAGCCCTGGGAGGGAGAGATAGGCAAGGGGATGATTCTCGGACCCATACAGCAGCAGAGAAGACACCCCATGGATCTGTGATGGGTGCAGGGGTGGGTTTGCTTACAGCTCACCCCACCCACAGCAGTGGCCTTAGGAATCAGCCCCACCTTGAATCCTGCCAACCCCTGGTCAAGTCTCAGCCACTTTGCCTTAATAGAGAAGTCCTTTCCCTGTCCCAACCTGCAAAGTGGGACCAAGCCTACCTACCCCTGCCTGCCTCCCTTGCAGGTGTCCAGAAGAGAATATATAAAAATGGCTTTGTGCCAGGCACGGTGGCTCATGCCTGTAATCCCAGCCCTTTGGGAGGCCCAGGCAGGTGGATCATGAGGTGAGGAGTTCGAGACCACCCTAGCCAAGATGCTGAAACTCCGTCTCTACTAAAAGTACAAAAATTAGCTGGGCATGGTGACAGGTGCCTATAATCCCAGCTACTCAGGAAGCTGAGGCAGGAGAATTGCTTGAACCTGGGAAGCGGAGGTTGCAGTCAGCAGAGATCACACCACTGCACTCCAGTCTGGGTGACAGAGCAAGACTCCATCTCAAAATCTGCAAATAAAAGTATTCATAAGGGGGTCGATACCCTCCTCTCTCCTTCACCCTCACTCCCTCCAAGGAGGAAGGCAAATTAAATTGAGTCGATAAAGAAACCGGGTTGGACAACTCCTCCCTCTGCCTCTCAGTTCTTCCAGCCCCCCTCCAGGGTGAGCAGCGCTCCTTTCATGAACAGTTGAGCAATGAAGAGACTTGCCTGGGGCCACATATCAGTATCACATCCGATGTAACCTCAGGTCTGTCTGACTCCAGGACTAAGGGCTTCTGGAGGCACAAAACTGCAGCCAAAGAGGAAGCTGCTTGCCTAAGGTGGGCAGGAAGTGGCTGCCAGGTGTCTAAGCTCTGCTTCTGGCTCCCTTTGGGGTCGTTCCTTCCAGAGATGATCCGGGTCAAGGCTTGAGCCCCAGTCCTGCCACCCCATGCTCCTGTGTATGACATCAGGACCGCTGAACCCACAGGGTGCCTCCCTGATCCCACCCCAAGCTGGGAACCAGCAACTTGGCAGAGCCTCATGTGCCTTTGTGACCCCAAAATATCTTGTATGGAGGCCAGCAAAGCCTCTTGGAGGAAGGGCTGGGTGGTGGGGTGGGGGGGGACGTGCCACACCCTCCAGGTCTTTCTAGATGGCCCTGGCCTTTGCTTCGTTCCTTACCCTTCTCGAAATCCCTTTCCAGCCACTGCTACATTTAAACAAATGCACACTCATGTGGGTAGGGCTGCCGTGACTCTTCTCATCTGATGATAAGGAAACCCAGAAAGGCCAAGCAAGTGTACTGAGGTCACCCCAAGGAGGAGTGGCTGAACTGAAATGAGAATCCATGTTCCCTGGTGCTTCTGATGGGGGCTGGAGGAAGCGGGAACAGGATCACAGAGGAGGAACTTCAGCATCCCGGGCCTTCAGGAGGCATTACCCACTGCAGGCCATTTCCCCCCTCTGGGCCTCGGTTTCCTCATCTGTAAAATGAGTGAGGACATTAGGCCTGGCACCTCCGAGCTGTCCCTTCCACTTATTTCTCAGGTTGCTTCAGGGCAGGCTGGGAAGCAGCAAGAGAACCAACACCACTGATCCTCCCCCACTGACAGCTTAAATCCCAAGGAAAGGAGGCGTCTTGAACCAAGGCCAGGAGAGGGCTGCAGGCGTTCCCAGCTGGGATTCTCTGGGAGGTGCCAAATGAACTTGAATCTTCAACTCCAGACCTTTAGGGAGCAAGCTGGGCAGGAAAAATCTGAGGTCTGGCAAGGCCAGAGTCCGGTGCGGTCCTGGCTCTGCACTAACGGGCTGTGCAGCCTTGACCCTGCCTCGTGCACCTCGGGCTCCCCTGTGTTTCATGAGGTCACCTTTCAGGCCCTCCAGCTCTAAGACTGTGCAAAAGTTTTCCCAGCATTCTCTCTGTGGGAGGTACAGACAGGAAGAGATGTTTTTCAACAAGTTGGACAAAGTGTTGCACATGATTTAGACTCTGTAGAGGAGGAGCTCTGTTGGAGGAAACAGACACCAAGCAGGTGCCCAGCAACAAGTGAGTGCCCTGCTCCTGGACATGGCCAGGCAGGGGCTAGAGGGCACCCAGCAGGAGTGATGGCAGCAAGACTCCAGTCCTGCATCTAGGAAAGGCAAGATCTCCAAGGTTCTCTCTGGTTAGGAGGCTCTAGAACTCAGCATTTCCTCTCCTGAGGCTCCCCCCACCCTCAAGCAGTATCCAATACTCCTGCCTTCCCTGCAACAGAAGGGGAACTTCCGAGCCACCTTCCTGGGGCAACCAGCAGAGGGCACGCCCTCCCAGCCCTGGAAAGTAGGGGTAAGGCAGCACCGGACACGTCCTGGCTTATAGCCATGGTTTAAAACAAGGCAGCCCTGGGTTCTAATCCTGGCTTCCACCACTTAACTGAGCAAGTAACTTAACACCCTGGCATCCTATCCCCTCAGCCCCCTGCTGCTAAAACAGGGGCATTCAGCTTTGTTGGCTGAGATAAGGCAGTGCCAAGTGTCTGGCATGAAATGGCAGCTGCTGTTACAGCTCTGCAGCTGCCTGGAAAGGTTATGGAACAGACTGCCTTTGCAAACACCAGTCAGGCACCCTGCGAAAGCTAGATATGGGGAGAGGAGGATCCTGGGGGAGGGACACTGTTGATGTCTATAAGGGTTTCTGTGGGAGAGAGAGGCCTGGAGAAGCCGCATGTCACCTTGGGAGGTTTCTGTACAGCAATGTAAACGCTAGCTAGGGGCATGACACCCGTAGGTATATTCTAGTCCTTGTGGGGCAGCTGGGGCCTGGGAGTGGAGGTGGTGGACATGTCACCAGTGACTTCTGCTGATGTGACTCCACATGGATGCTAGGTGGCTTGTTAGCACGTAGCTATGAGGACACATTCTTGGGGCCTTATGGATCCAAGCTGAAAAAGCCTTTAGGTTTGTCTCCATCCTCTAGTTTTATCGATGGAAAGACTGAGGTCTACATGAGAGGATTGAAGGCCTAGGACCCTGGAGATGGTCCCAGTCGTGCTTATTCCCTATCCTTCCATGGGGCAATACTCCCCAGGGACCACCCAGCACTGGGGCACCTACCGAATGCATCCGGCTCTGGCTCAGCACCCAGGAACCGCCCTTGGGACCGTGAATCCACCAGCTGGAACCTCTTAGATTCAAGGTTCTCCAGCACCTGCTCATAGGTCTTGAGCAGGGAATGGTCCAGTGTGGCTTTGAAGACGGCAGGTTCGGGGCGTGAGGGCTCGGATGTCACGGGGTGGCCCTCTTTCAGCCAGTTCCGGAAGCCACCATTGAGCACTGATACCGTGCGGTGGCCGAACACACGGAACATCCACCAGACCCGGGGAGCGTAGAAGCTGCCCAGGTGGTCACCATCATACACCACCACGTGCGTGTGGTTGCTGATGCCCAGGCGGCCCACGTAGTCGGCGAAGCCAGTCTCGCTGGGTAGCATCATCTCGTAGGGCGACGCCGTGTCCCGGCACTCCTCTATGTCAAAGAAAGAGGCGCCGGGCACGTGGCGCTCCAGGTACTCTTTGCGGGCCTCTCGGGTGCCCGGTGAGTACCAGGAGGCGTCCAGCACCCGCAGGCCGGGCCCCAGCTTGCCAGTCCTGATGGACTCCGCCAGCCACTTGGTGGAGACCAGCGCCCGGTAGAGCACCTGATGAACCATGGCTTCAGCTCCGCGTGTCACCTGGCACGGGTGGGAACCAGGAAAGAGAGACAGGCGTGAGGAGGTCGGTGTGGGCAGTAGGGTGAGGCCTGGGAGAAGCTTTCTCCCTCCGCACTCCCCCGGGTTCCTTGTTTACCGCGGCAAGCCAGCGGGGCTGGGGCGCGCAGCGGGGTAAGTTTGCAGATTCCCTCCGGAAAGCCGGCCCCGCCCCCCCACCCCCAGCGGGACCTGGGGCCCAGAGCAGAAGCTGGTGGGGCAAGAGTTTCCAAGGACTCCAGATAGGGGCGCTTCCTGTGGCGGGGGTCTGGCTCCTAGCAGCTACAGTACTAGATCGCGCCAGGAAAGAGCAGTGAAAACATGCCCGGGATAGGGGGACGACGGCATCCTGGGCTTAGAATCCTCTTTCCTTTGAATGCAGAGGGGTGGGCGCAGGGCGAGGAAGCTCCGCGGGCCGCGCACACGCCATCGCCTGCGGCCTCCCCAGGCAGCCCGAGGTCGCCCGCCTCCAGAATGCCCAAGTCCAGCCCGAGGCTCGCTGCCCTCTGCCCTAGGTGGGTCAGGAGTTCCCGGGGCACCCCGTCCCACGCTCGCAACGCGATCCTTCCCAGGGCGCAGGTGATCCGGCCGGCAGCCCAATCCCCAGCGGCCCCAGCGCCCGGCCGCCGCCCCCCGGCCCGCACTCACTCGCCCAGGCAGCCGAGCTGGCGCTCGCCCCTGCCCGCTGGAGAAATTGGCCAGTTCAAACCCCCGGCCGCAGCTCCCTGGGCGGCGCGCACCACCGCGCCGCCACCAGAGGGGGGAACCTGCGCCGTCTGCCGCCACCCCGCGCCCCCCGTCTATCCCCCGCGCCCTCGCTCCGCACCCGGCACCCGCCGCCCCCCGCGCGAAGAGCCTCCGGGACCCTTGGGGGTCTGCGGGGGACGCCGGGTGGCGCGGGGACGGCGCGGGCCCGGGCTGGGCGGAGCGGGCGTCCCCCCCACGGCCTGGCCGGTGGAAGGCTCGGGTAGCCGCGGCTCCGAGTGGCCGCGGCGGTGGGCTGTTCCGGAGTCTCCTCCCTTTGGCCAGGCTGCAGGTTGGTGGCGGGAGGAGGGGACAGCTGCGGGCGCGGGGAGGGGGCGCCGAGCCGCGGGGGCCATGACGGAGCCAGGAAGCCGGGAGCCCGAGACTCGGGTAACTGACGCGGCGTGGCGCTTGTCTTTCTGGAGGGGGAAGGGAGTGGCTCTTTGGGGTGCGCGGCGCGGGGCTCCGGCACGGGACCTGAGGGGAGGAAGGGGCGCAGTCTAGGAGGAAAGGCGCGCCGCTATGTTGGCACTAAGGATGACTGTCCGCTTGGGGCGGCCTGCTGGGTTGGAGGGTCGTGACGAGTGGCGGGTGGGGAGCCTTTGGTGGAGGTGGGGTGACCTGGTGCCACCAGAGAGGGTGGGAGGGAGGCAGGACAGAGAGATGAGACCCCGCTGATCCAGAGGCCCCAGGAAGAGACGCTAGCCAAGAACTTCCTAGGGAGTGAAAGGAACTAACATTGTCACGGCCTGCTTGGTGTGGCACTTTGCTGGGTACTCCCGTGGTGTCACTTAGCTCCCACAGTAACCCTGCGGAGTAGACCAGAAACTTACTTAGACTGGAGGGAGCGGCAGAGCGAGTTGCTGGGGGACACACCCAGAGTTGAGGCCCCGCCCGATCCCAGGTCTGAAGGCCACATGGTACCGGCTGCCTTTGTTTACCTGGCTCTTCCCTGATGCCTCATGCTTTTTAAAAAATTGCCTGTTTTTAACTTAGTTTAATCGTAAGTTGATGTAATTCAATGTTTAATCATAGCTATGTTTAACAACGAGTTGGCAAAATTTCTGAAAAGCTCACCATTGGCTCTTGCAAGCTGCGCGACGCCATTGCTCCTCCTCAGCTTTTGCTAGCCAGGGTGGGGATGCTTTCCTTGTTCTCCAACCCCGACTTATTTATTTATTTTTATTTATTTTATTTATTTTTTTTTGGACAGGGTCTGGTTCTGTGGTGAGACTGGAGTGCAGTGGTCCACCTCAGCTCACTGCAACCTCCGCCCACCAGCAGTTCTCCTACCTCCGCCTTCCAAGTAGGTGGGACCACAGGCATGTGCCACTATGCCTGGCTAATTTTTAAATTTTTGGTAGAGATGAGGTTTTGCCATGTTGTCCGGGCTGGTCTTGAACGCTTAGGCTCAAGCAATCTGCCAGTCTCGGCTCCCAAAGTGCTGTGATTATAGGCATGAGCCACCATCCCTGACCTCACCCCCCTTTGAAAAAAAAAAAAGGTTTTGTTCTAAAATGCTCACAGCAATCCTCAAAGCCTAGTGTCTGGCGGTTGGGGGAGGGGGTGGGCAGGAGGGACCAGGCTGGGGAGGTCCTAGAGGAGTAACCTAGATCCCGCCTCGGGCTCGTGCTTGCCTCAGTGCAGCTGTGTACCCTCCTGACACGAGCCTGGGGCGATTACGTCCTGGGGTTCTCCACTCCTAGGGCACCCCCCCCTTACAGTGATCCCGGCTCTGGAATCACACAGGCACCCCTCCACCCCTCCCTGACACCCACAGCCTGCCCTCTCACACCCTCCTCTATGGCCCACAGTCCTTTGTGAGAACTGCCAATCAAGCAGGGACAGTGGGGGAGGGTGACCCCAGGCCTCTAAAGTCCCACCAAGCCCTGGCATTCTCAGATTTTAGATCTACTGCTGTCAGTTCCAGGGCCACCAATGAGAGTAACAGTAGAAGCAATAATGCGGTTTTATTAAACCGTTTTTAATGATTAGTAAAAGCAGCCAGCTGTAATGCATGATGGTGGCCCCTCTACATTCATTGTTTAATCTTGGCTCTAAGAGGTGAGGGTTGGAAGCTCCATTATAAGGAACAGAACCACCCAGAGGCCCTACATGCCCACCATTACACAACCAGTTAAGCAGTAGAATGGGGTTTACATTGACTTTGGGGGCTGACTCCCAAACCAGGGCTCTTTCTAAGTGGATGATTGGGCAGGGAAAACAAGGATCCTCAAGAATGGGAGACAGTGTTGCGGGAGGCCCAGGGGCTGCTGTGGTTCCCACAGTTGGGTTCCTTAGGAAGGAACCTGCAGCATCCGCCAGCACAGCACCCCCTAGCCGTTGTGTAACACAGAAATGGGGATCCCTCCTTAGCCAAAGGCCCCTTGGTGGCCTCCTTACCCTGAAGATCAAGCTGAGGCTTCCGGGACCCTGGGAAAAGTCAGACTAGTCTGGACTTCCTCTTCATCCAGGAAGCCTTCCCGCCTCTTCTGCTGCCACCCTCGGCTGGCATAGGGACTCCTCTATGCTCAGTGCTGAACTCTAAACTGTCCTCAATTTCACTGTCTCACCTGCATCCTGCCTTTTTCCCCCCAGGGCTTGGCAAAGGCCAGAGTGCCTCAGTGTCTGGGACAGAGCCTGCCCGTGTGGGTGGGGTGCGTTCCTAAAAGTCAGCTGCGGCGACTGTGGAGGTGGGCACAGAGTGTCACCCTATGAACTCATTAGGCCCTGGTCATCACGGCACCTGGGGCTGGTGGAGTCTAGCCTGAGGAGTCAAATTCTGGCTGCAAATCCTGAGGCTGCTTTCTGTGACCAAGGGCAAGGGACTTGTTCTTCTGTCAGTTGCCTCATTCATAAAGCAGGCATCCTAATACCCGCCCAAGGCTGTGGTGCCAAACACGTGACCTGGCTCACAGAGACACTCAGTCCACACATGTTCTCTACCTGCCCCCTTCATTTGGCTGGCAGGACTGCCTGCAGTGGGTGTCAAGGATAGGTGAGGGCTGACCTGCAGCCCGAATTCCACACACCCAGCCGTGTGCCCTGGTGGGGGCTCAGCCTCTGCGTGGCAGAAGGGGCCCCTTCCTCTCACCTGCACAATGGCACCTGTGGACTAGTGGCTTCCCAGCACAAAGGGTTTAAAGGATTTGGGAAGTCAATACCCAGGAAGGCTGTGGGTCAGCCTGGCATAGTGGGCTGGTGAGCTGGTGCACTGTCAGCCGCTGGCATACAGGAAAGATGGAGAGGGGAGGGAGGGAGGTGCAAAGTCACTGTCGCTGCTGCTAGACAGAGACAGATGAAAGAGAGAACCCAGGCTGGACGGGCCAAACCTGGCCTCGCCAGACTCCCGGAGCCTGCACAAGGTGTGTGGCTGAGAAGTCCAGATACTGGTGCCAGACTGCCCAGAGAGAAGCCTGGCACCACTGGGTCAGGTTAGCACATTTTTTTTTTTTTTTTTTGAGATGGAGTTTTGCTGTTGTCACCCAGGCTGGATTGCAATGGTGCAGTCTCGGCTCACTGCAACTTCTGCCTCCTGGGTTCAAGCAATTCTGCCTCAGCCTCTGGAGTAGCTGGGATTACAGACGCCGGACACTAATCCTGGCTAATTTTTATATTTTTAGCAGAGACGGGGTTTCACCATGTTGGCCAGGCTGGTCTTGAACTTCTGACCTCAGGTGATCTGCCTGCCTCGGCCCCCCCAAAGTGCTGGGATTACCGGCATGAGCCACCACATGAGGCCAGGTTAGTGCACTTCTGTGAGCCTGAGTGTCCTCCTTGAAACGGGGACAATAATACCAAGCCTCTTAAGGTCACTCATTCCACACATACTGGAAAGTCTACTGTGTCAGGCATTGTTCTAGGGTATTCTTAGGATTTAGTGGTACCCAGCAAGAATTCAGTAAATTCCAGCTACTGTTCCTATTAGGCGGCCACTATAAATGTTTGGTGAGTGAATGAATGACTTCCATCTGGGACTTGGTAGCAAATTAAGCCGAGCTGCCTCTTAGGGAGGGGTGGAGACTTTGCCCCTGCTTGCCTTAAAGCCAGCCGGGCCTTGCCCCTAGGATACCTCCACCCAGCAATTGGAGGTGAGGGGCGAGGCCTGGGGCTCTCCAAGAGGTCATGGGCATTAGGTCATTCGGAGTTTGTGTGCTTGTGTTGATCCGAGGCCTGGCTACCCACCTCTGTGCCCGGGTTCGCCACCGATGGTTTCTGCGGGTGTTCCCTGGACTCTGCCCTGCACGGGCCCCACCTCCCGCGCCGGCCCTCGCCCTCGCCCTTGCCCCAGCGGCAGCCCTAGCCCCAGCGGCGGCCTCTCCCTGCTTCCCTCCTGACATCCTCCCTGTTGCCCAGGCCCGCAGCCCGAGACTCGCCGCTATGGCCCCGCCGCAGCTCTTCCGCGCGCTGGTGTCTGCGCAGTGGGTGGCCGAGGCGCTGCGGGCCCCGCGCGCTGGGCAGCCCGTGCAGCTGCTGGATGCCTCCTGGTACCTGCCGAAACTGGGGCGCGATGCGCGACGCGAGTTCGAGGAGCGCCACATCCCGGGCGCCGCCTTCTTCGACATCGACCAGTGCAGCGACCGCACCTCGCCCTACGATCACATGCTGCCCCGCGCCGAGCACTTCGCGGAGTACGCGGGCCGTCTGGGCGTGGGCGCGGCCACCCACGTCGTGATCTACGACGCCAGCGACCAGGGCCTCTACTCCGCCCCGCGCGTCTGGTGGATGTTCCGCGCCTTTGGCCACCGCTCCGTGTCACTGCTGGACGGCGGCCTCCGCCACTGGCTGCGCCAGGACCTCCCGCTCAGCTCCGGCAAGAGCCACCCTGCGCCCGCCGCCTTCACCGCTCAGCTGGACCCCGCCTTCATCAAGACCTATGAGGACATCAAGGAGAACCTGGAATCCCGGCGCTTCCAGGTGGTGGACTGCCGAGCCGCCGGCAGGTTCCGCGGCACCGAGCCGGAGCCCCGAGACGGTAACGCGGGGGAACCAGGCGGGATGTGGCCGGGCACGGCGTCGGGGGCGTGGCCTGCACCTAGGGCAGTGCCT